TCTCGCTGTCGCATGCCCAGCCTCATGCTTGCTCTGTTATGTGGGCACACACAGACACGCTGCCTCTGATCCTCTGGCTCCGGGGGAAGTGAAGAACAACTTGGCTGGAGCCAGGGGACTGCCTGTCTGCATCGGAGATGCAGCCACTGGATCCAAGGCGTGCGCAGACATACACGTACCCCCTCCTCCCCGAAAAGTCTGATCTTCAGTAGAAAACTCTCCTACCCCTGATAGTTTCAAATCACCCTGACAACAGGAGGAGCTGGCCGGCAAAGCAGAGAGGAACTGTTCAGACAGAGAGAGTTGTAGGTGACTTACCCCATCCGGCAGGTTGGTGTGTCCATCCCAGCTGGCTGCTTGTTCCCCAGGGGTACCTGTGCAGGTAATGCCCAGTTAGCCAGTCCCTTGAAAAAGGGGAACATCATTCCCCCTCCCTCTCCTGCTCCCCACCCCACCCCAAATTTTCAGCCCATAGCCAGGTGGAGAGAGCCGGGAGCCTCATCACCTTGTGTCTGCATGTGTGTGGGCGAGCCCCAAGCAGCCTGGGGGGGAATCTGCTCTCAAGACTGCTCTGATAATAGGCTGGCCTTGGTGACAGCTTGAGTGGCAGCCTTGGAAAAAGGGATGGAGCCGTCTCTGCCGGCAGGAAGGGGGAGAGAGGGGGCTTGTCATCCAAGCCAGCGCGATGCTGATGTCATCTCTGGCACTGTCACCGCCACCCCTCCTGGAAGAGACACCCTCTTCCTCGGGGTTCCCAGCTTGGGGGTGGGGGGCAGACAAGGCATTGCAAGGGGCCTGATCCTGTGAGCTGACTTGGGGAGCAGCGAAGGGGGCTGTTCAGTGCAGGGAAGGACACCCATTTCTCTAATGAGAAGATGGTGCTAATTAGCACAGCTGCGTTGGAAGATGGGAGGGGTGGGGGAGGCTGCTTCTTCCCAGGTCTCGCTCTGTCTCTGCTCCAGACTCTTCTGCCTCTCTCCACCCTAGGGCCTTTGATGTACGGATCAGCCCGACTCCAAGCTGCCCGGTGGGCTCATGTCTGGTTCATGAGCGTGAGGCTTCTGTGGGCGTACAAAGGACTCTGGGGGATAGCAAAGTGTTTGGGGTGAAAACCTGTCACTGGCTAATGCTCTCTTTTCCTTTCCCTTTCTCCCTCTTCGACTCTGAACCAGGCTCTCAAGGGTCCGGGCTGAGAGAGCAGGGTCCACAACCCAGCACTGCCTTGTTCACAAAGCAGAAGAGTGCTTTTGGTAACCAGGGGGTGTTCAGTCACCACCCTGAGCCAAATAGCTTCCCAAGGGTGCAGTTCCCCACCCAGGCTGCACTCTGGAGCAGGCCTTTGCCTCAGGGTGATCCGGATTCCTGGGCTCCATACGTAGCTCTGGGAGGGCAGGTGAAAGCAATCAGAAGAGGCATGTTTGGAGAGGGGTTGTGTTTTCAGCTCTGAGGAGCATGGGTAAATAGTTGTAGTGGGTTTCGAGGGGCGGTCAGGACTCCTATAGGTTTCTATTATTAGGCCTGGGAGCACAGTGCAGTTGGTAGTTAGGGTGCAAAATCTGGAGCCAGGATCCCTCAACTCTGTTCTCACTTTTAGAAGAGCTTGTGATTAAAGCAAAGGGCTTGGACATGGCACCCGTGGCTTCTCTTCTGCATTTTACCCCGGCTTGCTGCATGCATAGCTGCGTGCCTCAGTTTCTCTTACCCATACGGTGCTGGATGATCCCAGGGGCTTGGTGCTGGCTGGCTGGAAGGGACAGCTGTGCGGAGGCCATTTCTCAGGCTGTGAGGTCTCATAAAAGCAGCCTGGCAAGGTCCATAAATCCAGCCCAGTGGGGTAAAAGCACAGCCCCTTTTCACACAACCTGCAGGCGAGGATCCCAGAGAGCCAGGGAGGGTGAGGGGACCCCTACACAACAAGGGCCCTGGCAGGACTGACCCGCTCTGCTGAGGCTAAGGGGTCATTGGCATCTGTGTAACAGCTACTGCAGATACCTGGGCATTGGTTTCTCCTTGGCACGGAGCCCCTTTTGCACGGCTCAGAGGCTCGATTTCTGCCGTCCGTGTGTCAAGGCAAAACCAGGCCCAAAAGCTGGCGTGGTGAAGGCACAGCAGTCTCTATGGCCAGCGGCAACCGAGGGGAGAAGTCTGTACAATGTCCCCCCATGCCACTGTTGATGCACCAGGTTGAACAGCCAGATACTTGCTTGCAGCTTCAGGGCCTGGGAGCAGTCATGAGCATGGTCCAGAGGGGTTTCTGATGGCGACATGACGTGCCGGTGGCATCCCTCATGTGCCCCGTTGGCAGAGGGTCCCAGTCCGCTCCCACCCCAGCCCTGGTCCTTCGCTCATGCTGTAGCTTCTGCCTCCAGCACCGGAAAGTGCTGGTTCAATTCGGGGGTGTTGGCGAGGAGGCTGTATGGAGCTACTCTCTCCCCCAAGGGGTTTAATTGGAGTCCAGGATATTAGCAGCTCATTAATGGTTTCCTCTGGTGGCCATGGCAGCGGTCACCATGACACCAGGAAAAGGGTGGAACTATCCAGGGAGGGCCTAAGTGAATATAGCATCCAAATAATTGACTCCCCCTTTTCTGATTAGGCTGAGAGGCCTCATTTCCTGCTCCCTAATGAAGAGGAAAAGGCTCCATGCCGATGTGAAGAGGGGGAGTGAGAGCAGCTCGTTAACGTGGCACGGCAAGGAGGCACAGTTGTGCGTGCAAGTGTGCGCAAGCATCAGACTCCAGGGCTGCTCGGCAGGTGCTCTCCCACCCACAGGTGGTCACAAACTCATTGGGTTGAGCTCCTGGCCTCATTTCCATGGGGTGTGTGGGAAAGAAAAGGATGGTGGGTACTTTGATTTACTCCTGGAGCACCTTAGTGGCTGGCTGGTCTGGTGTGGGATGCCCAGTCTGGGTTTAGATGACGATTGGTTCTAGATCAACTGGGAAGATCTAGATCAGTGCTTCTTAACCAGGTGCCTTGGCACCCTTGAGGGGCCTGGAGATCCGTTCCAGGGTGCTGCAGGATGTCTCGCCGTGGTAGCACTGTCAGGTGTGCACGCACGCTTCACAAGAGACACCCAGAGATTTCAAGCAGGAATCCAGAGCATCCAAAGCCTTCTCGCCTGCCCCGATCGTTCGGAGCTCTTTGCACCAGTAGATGTGACGTATTAGTTTCCTGTTGTCAAAAAAACCTAAGTGCGAAGACTAAGAGCTGGCATTTTCTGAAGAGGCTGTTGATGGGAGTCTAAGAAAGGCTGACAACCACCGATCTAGACTAATGGGCACATCTACACATGCGTTAATGTGCTGTAGTTAATGCACATTAAATATAGCACCTCCTTAGTGAGGCACTAGGAAAACGGGCGTCAGCCTGTCTTAATGCACATTAACTAAAGAGCATGGGGCACTTTTACACATGCTCTGAGGGTGGAGGGGGTGGCACTTTAATTAGAGTGGTGTCCCCACGTTTAAAAATGGCGGTGGGGGGTGCTTGAACTAAAAGCTCATTCAAACTTTAGTTCAAGCACCCCCACTGCCATTTTTAAGGTGGGGATGCTGATATACGAGACGTGGGAAGCTGGTGGAGCACGGTAATTGCCATGCTTAATGAATCAGTAATTACAGCGCGTCAGAGCAGCCTCCACACTTGTGTACAGGCACCCACAGTTTTTGGTGATGCTTTAAGACGCATTAACCTATTTTAATGTGCATTAACTAAAGAGTACTTTTTATGACAATTAAAATAGGCTAATGCTCATTAAAGTGCATGTGTAAACACACCCTCTCTTTTGTGCTAGACCAGCTTTTCTACACAGGGTTTTCTGTCTTTGTTTCAGCAGCATTGGCCCAATCATCATTCTCCAGACCTGTTTTAGACCTGTCCAGAATGGGAGGGTGATTCTGGCTGGTCTTGTCCACCACGGGTTGTGTCCTTCCAGTTGGCTGGAAGCTCATAAAACAAGGTCTGTGTCGCTCTGAGTAACAGCAGCAAGGCCTGATTCTCCTGGTGTCTCTCTCTACCTCACTTTGCCCTAGGACCAGTGGATAATCCAGGCCCCGTTTACACTTAGGAGGGCTTTACCAGGATAGGATTCAGCTCTAGCGGCCAAGCTGGGGTTTGTAACGAGGGAGCAAAACCTTCCCTCCAAGCCAGGCAAGTTGGAGAAGTGGAAGAAGCATTCGGCAGTGTCCTTGGAGCATTTGCCGGCACCGTTGTGTTGTTTGGGATCGCACCTCGTCAGCCACTGGATGGACGGAGATGTGCTGGGGAGACGCAGCTGCCCCGACCACCTGGGGCAGGGGTGTGTGTACGGGAAAGATTTTAAACTTCATTGCAGAACAACAAGGAAGTTTCTTTACCTCCCTGCCTGCCATCTGACACTTCCAGGGAAGGATTTCTACCTGATCAACACATCAAAGAGCTACACAACACAGCTCGCAAAGACACTCTCATGGACCCAGAGGGACAGACTTCCACCTTCAGCTCCCTCTGTGCAAAAATGAAGTTTATTTCCTACCTATGGGGACTTTTTACCATCTTGTACCATGTACACTTTTCCCAGAGCCTGACGAAGGGACTTGAATCCCAAAAGCTTGCAGAAAAGGACAATTTTCCTGCCATGTTCCAGTTGGTCTAATACAAGGTATCATTTTGGAACCAAGAGTTCTCGTTTTTTGCATATCTTCTTGTACGGGAAAGAGGAGCGCGGGTGAGAACGACACGGATACCTACCTAAATCAAGGTCCGACTGTTTTAAAGGCATCTGGGCCTCTCTCCCAAGGATTTCCCGGAGTCACAGGGCTCATTACCGTTTAAAGTGCACATGTATGCGCATTAGCCTATATAAGAGCCGTGTGTGTGTAGACTCCACACTGGTTCGCGGTTGTGCGTGGGCAAACGCACAGAGGCGCGCGCGCGTGCGTGTGCTGATAGGAGATCTGCAGCAACGGGTACGCGGCACGCTAGAGTCACTCGCTGGCCCTATTGGTCCGCCCGAGGGGGCGGGGCCAGGCGAGGGCCCGCCCCTTGGGGGCGGTGCTTCCACGCGATGGCGGCGGCGGCCCCACGTGTTCCGGTGAGCGCGGCCCGGCTCCCCCGCGCCGACCCGCCGGGCGCCCCAGGCGGGCCCGAATCCTGCCTCGGGTCCTAGACCCCGCGGCTTTGCACCCCCCTCCCCGCTCCAAGCCGGGTCCCCCCACCCCCGACCCTTTCCTGCGGTGCCCAGCTCCTCCCTGCGGCCTGGTGCCGGACTCGGCCCCGGTCCTTATTGCCCGCCTTTCCTCCGTGCAGCCCGGCGCGTAGCGGACCCGAAACCCGCGGCCTGGAGCCCGTGACGGGGAACGAGACCGAGGGCATGGAGTTCGCGGAGCAGCAGTTGCAGAGGCATGGCTGGAAACGGGGTACGGCGCGCACGGCGGATCTCCCCGGTCCCCGCGGCGAGGGGACGTGGATGACGGAGCAGGGCCGCGTGCTTATGGTGTCCTCGACCCGCGAAGCCTTGCTGGGCTCCAAACGGGGCTGGATCTGGCTGCCCTGTCACCCTGACGCGGCTGTGACGGAGCTGGGGCTGCCCCGGGTTGCAGACAGGAGCCTGGGTCTGGTCCAGAAAGCCCCGTGCTCCTTGCACGCTCGTAGCATGGATGGAGAATTTGGGTGGGGAGAAGTGTGGGGTGTGCAAGGGGGTGTCCAGCTGAGACGTTTCCAAGGGTGGAGGCTCCACAGGCCGGCCTGCTCCACAGCAATCTCCTGGCTGCACTGGGGGTCCTGCTGGGTCTCTGGTGCCTGTCGCTTCCCGGGCTGGTGGCGGATGGACCTGCTGTGGGGCAGGCTGGAGAAGCAGAGGCCTGTGACGTGGGAGACGGGGGTCCTTGATTCGGCCCCTGCCTTGACCCTCCCTCCCCTGCGCTCTGCAGGCAAAGGGCTGGGGAAGAAGGAGAATGGCATTGCAGAGGCCATCAAGGTGAAGGTCAAGTGCGACACGGCAGGGGTGAGTGAGTGAGCCAGGCAGCATCTGTGTCCAAGGGCCGCGTGCCTTGCACGGGCTGGAGACAGACTGGGGGCCTTTCGTGCTGCCCCCTCCCTCCAGCCCCAGGGCCACCTCTGCAGCTGTGTCGGCTCCTGGGCAAAGCTCTCCCCTCCACCCCTCTTCCCTCCTTATCCTCCACCCCTGTCCTGCATTGCCAAAGGGCTGCATCCTCTTAGCTCTTCCCTCCCCAACCCAGGTGGGCCATGACCCGGCCGAGCAGTTCACCTTCCACTGGTGGGACCACGTCTTCAACAAGTCAGCTGCTAACATCGCTGTGGAGGTTGGGGAGGTAAAGCGCTTGGCAGAAAGGAGTTGGGGTGGGGAAACTGAGGCACCAAGGGGGGCGCGACTTGCCTAAAGCCGCCCAATGGTGGAGAATAGAACCCAGGCGTCCGGCATTGCCATCCATACCTCAGACCTGGGAGTAGGGGCCAGGTGGGAGGAGCGGGTATGTGGTTGTTGCCTTCCACCCCCTTACCCCTAGGCCGCCTGGGGTCTAGGGCAGCTGCAGCCATGGACCAGCCCTGCTGCCTGCAGGGGCATTTTGTTGGTTTCCTGTCTTTGTTCTGGTCTTGAGACTGCTAAAGTCTTTGGGCCTGCCCATGTTCGTGCAGCACCTTGCACTGTGGGTGGGGCTGAGCCTTCCTCGTAGAGACTGCCGCAGCCCTAGTGCCTTGCAACTGGGGTGGGGTGGGAGGTGCAGACAGGGCTCCATCACAGCACGTCTTCCCCTGCCAGGATGGCGTCCAGATGAAGACACTGTCTGAGACAGAGGCAGGCATCAGCAACAAGAAGCCGCGGAAGCCACCTGGTGCTGCAGGCTTGGTGTATGGCCGCTTTGTGAAGGTACCCAGAGGCAGGGGTGGGAGCTCACGGAAACCCCCCTCGCATGTCCGCTGGCTTCAGAATTGCAGCCACTTCTGGGGCAGACCATGCACAACAAGGCTGCACAGCGGATGGCTTGCCCAGTGCTGGAATCCAGCTGCTTCTAGGGTGAAGCACCACAGCCTGGTTTAGGGAGAGGCAGGTGAAAGTCCTTCCCAGCTGGGGCTGCATTGGGGAGACTATTCGGTTCCTTTGCATGCAAGAGGCCTGGTGCTCAGTCCACTCTGCAGCACCACTCCTGGACTCCTGCGGCTCCCTCCAGCCCCAGCCTTGCTCTGAGGGGAGTCTCTAACCCCGGCTCTTGCTGGTTGCTGCTTCCTGACCCAGGCGGCCACACTGACGGCAGGAGGAGAGGAACCCGTGCAGCCGGCATCCTCGTCGGAGAGCAGTGAGGATGAGGAGAAGCTGGATCTGTCCACTGCCGGGAGGTGTGTGCTTAAGGGGTGCCAGGGGCTGCTTCGAGTCCTGGGGCTACAGCTTGGCTTGGAGGGCTGGATCCTGGGCATTGCTATTGTCCCTGGGTAGACGCCGGTGGCTGTGTCTTGGTGTCACCAACCTGCCTGAGCCGTGAGACACTGGTTCCGTGTAAGTAGCACCCCAGGCATGATCCACCTCCTGCCCCTCCTTTTGGGGCATCCTGGCTCTTGTGCTCCATAGAAGAGAGGAGCTGGGGGCCTCTCCTGGGCCTGGTGCTCTGCTTTGAGTAGGCATGACCCCAGTCTCCAGCTGCTGCCTTAACGTTTGGGGAGGAGAGAGGGGCCTTTAGGCTGCAGCTGCCAGGCAGGGTGACTCCCCTGAGCTGTGTGCAGCCAGGGTGCTTTGCACATGACTTGACTACACAGCTGTGGCCAGGACAGAGACCTCCTTGTCCTGCACTGCCCTCCGGCGGAGGGTGGGCCGGGCCTGGGTCTTTACCCAGACTGTGCGACTGGGTCTCATCTCTGTCCCCCAGGTTGACAGACGAGCAGCTGATCCAGGTCTGTGGGGGCCGCACTGCGCACAAGTAAGTGTGGGGGGAACCCCACGTGTCCTTGGCCTGTTCATTACACCCCAGGATCCCTCTTACCCCTTGGGCAGCTCTCTGCTCCCTGCCAGGTGGAGCTGGGGGGCTGCAAGGCTCCCCCATTCCAGCTCCCGGCCTGGAGCCCCTGGGCGGGGAGGGTTTCCAGGGGTTAATTCCAATAGTTTCCCCCACTACAGGGATGGAGCATAGGCCCGTCCTCTGCCCACCCTCCTCAGGACAATGCCTGGCAGAAAGCACTCAGCATCTGGGCCCATCACCCAGGAGCTGGTGCCTGGTGAGCCTGTACCACAGCCCTTGCTCCTCCCTGGTGTAGGTAGACCCTACCAAGCTTCCCTCCAACAAGGGGGCATATCTTGCTACCTTGGCAGTATCCTGTATCCTCCCTCTGAGCAAGGGGTTGGAGATCCAGCCCAAGGGCCTATGTGGGGGTGGGCAGGAAATACCCTAGAGCCATGTGGTGGCACTCAGGCTGGCAGGTTCCTGCTCACTCCTGGCCTGATGCATTCTTGGCAGGGGTGCCCGGCACGGCTTGACCATGAGTGCCAAGCTGGCCCGGCTGGAGGAGCAGGAGCAAGCCTTCCTGGCCAAGTACCAGCAGAAAGAGGTGATGCCAATGAGCAGTGCCACGGAGTGCCAGCAGGACAGTGCCCTGGCCCTGCAGGGAAGCTGTGCAGCAGGGCGAGAGAAGAGAGCCAAGAAGCGCAAGAGATCCCAGGAGAGGGTAGTAGAAGACGAGGATCCCAGGAGCCCAGGGCAGGAGGAGGAGGAGGAGAAAGGCAGGAAGAAGAAAAAGAAGAAAAGGAGACAGGAGGAGCGGGGAGAGGTTCTGGGGGACAAGGTGGAGCCGTCTGCTGCAGAGGAACAGCCAACAGGGTGCCCAGGAGGACTGGAGCAGGGCTCTGCTCGGGCCAAGAGGAAAAAGAAGCGGCGGCAGGTGGAGTGAATGAGCCAGACATGTCTTGGGGTGTTGCTGTGGATGCCCCGGCCTGATCCTGGCACTTGGTGGGAGCTGTGGGATCTGGCAGGTTCCCAGTACTGTCCCCTGGAGTGGACCCACGGCTCTTGGACCAGTAGCCCCTGCTCCCCGCCTCCCAACCCTGGTGGGGTCAACAGAGAGAGATGCTTGTGGCTGTAAGAGCTAACACAGCAGCACTTTCCTCCCCCACCTGCCTGGCTGGGGTCCCCTGGCACTCAGATCTGAAGGCAGAGCAGAGCCAAGCTGACTCAAGCCAAGGCTGGGTTTGCCCTGGATTTTGCACCATAAGCATGGTGGGGGCAGTTCAGTACAAGGGTTTTAAGCAACAATAAATCTTTATTGCAGTGAAACAGAGGGGTGTATGTGTGGACACCAAACTGGGAACGGGCAAAATGCAGTGTTCGGCACTGGGCTACTGGCTTCTACAGAACTACTCTCCTTGCCACCCCCCCACCTTGCATGGCTGAGCTGAAGCTGGCTGCCGGGATGTGAACACCCCCGAGACTGGTAGAGGGCTTTGGCTCCTGTCGCCTGCTGCTGAGTAACTTTGGCAGGATGGGGTCCCTGCTGTGCAGCAGAGAAGCCCTGGCAGCACCCCCTCCTAGCAGGATGCTTGCAGAAGCATCGGACTACCCTTCCCATTCTGCCCCCGTCCCCGGCTGCACTACATGAGCTGAAGGGTGCAGTCGGTGCCAGGGTATGCTGGCAGGTTGAGCCCATACTTCCTCTCCAGCGCTGCCGGCACAAACCTTCCCCCCAAGAAGTGGTAGCGCCCGGTGAAGTGCCGTGCCGCTGCTTTGGGCGCCGTGAGGGAGATCAGCATGTCTGGCTGGAGCCCGTCGGGGTTGCCCTTCTCCACATCCCAGGCTGGAAGGCA